ATCCTATGAGAAAATGAAAAGTCAAATGACAGAGATTTACACCCCTTGCGGGCGTGGTGATAGATGCCGAGGAAAATTTTGGTTAAGACATGCAGGTGGAGAAAAGAATGTGCTCAAGATTTGAGCATGTCCACGACTACCATAGATCAAGAAAGTCTGCAGTAAACTAATATCAGTTGATCTGCTGCTTTTTTAAGAAAAGTGTAAGTAGAGAAATTCAATTCTTGCAGAATGAATGATTCGAACATCTAGTTTGTCAGAGTACAGTTCTATTCAGTGGAAGACGTTAAAAACCAAACTAAATTTGCCAATAGACATATCTAGAAGATGTGAGAAAATCTGATGTAAGTAATAATTTCTGTTTGGGTGTGGAATAGAAGATAAAAGTAATAAAACTTACTTAAAACAAAACATAATTACAGTAAATTAGTTAACTAGTATAAGAGTCACTAGTCAAAGACCATCCAATGAAAACAAAAAGTTAAAAACTGTGTGATTTAATTATTTCTGAAGCAAGACTCGAAGATTGCAGAAGGGTTAAGTTTAGATGTTTTCTCCCAATAAATAAAACTAATGGTACTCTAGAACCATCAAGGAATGTTAATAATATAGCACCAGAAACATTAGTAATGCAGTTAATAGACAGAGCAGGAAACAAACCCCAAAAGTTACAAAGACGCTGTTTTCCCGTTCCAAGCGTCCACAACATTAAACAACTGTCGGGTTACATTTTAAGACATTTTAGACCACAAGATTAAGCAGTGTAAGTAGAAAATAAAACAATTTTGTTTGAAGTTACTATCATTGATGTAAAGATAACAGGCGAGGAAGGCCATGGACTGTAGAAATAAATAATAAACACAAACCAACAGGTGCTTCCTGAGCATTGCTGACACCACAAGTTCTCAGCAATTTCTAAGGTCACGGGTCAGAAATTGGAGCAGAAAATAATAGGGGCAGATAGCGACTGCTTCGTTCAACAAACTGAATCAATGGCCGGATGACTGACTGCACAAAAACAAGACCGCCAGTGATAAGGAACTTGCTGCCATCATCGCCCCCAGGGAGCAGACGACGTCCACAGTCAGCGCGACGCCCCCCAACACAAGCCTTTCACCGGCATCGACCAGGTTGGTGCACCAGGACAGAACAACAAACCTGCACCAGTTGGCAACCCGTTCAACGACTCGCCCTGCCGTTCCAAAGCTGCGGAGCGAAGGCAGACTCGCCGGCTTTGCTGCCGGGCCGCCGCCACGGCCACATGCCGCTGGCAGGCTCTAGCGCAGGCACGGCCCGGGCGGGGCGGCCATGTTGGTGAGGCCGACTAACCTTTGCAGCGCCTCGGCTGCGGCGCATGAGCCATGAGGCGTCGGCATGAGCCGGTGCAGCCTGCCACAGGGCGGCCACGGCTGGGCCGGCGCGTAGGGGCGCAGGCCGATAGCCGCTTATCACTGGCGCCAGCACGCCGGCATGGCCACGCCCCCGCGAGCTGGCTACTTCGCGAGGCACTTACCGTTGAGTTTGTCGATGGCTTTGTCTGCTGCGGACTGGTCCGGGCAGTCGACGAACGCGTAGCCGCCCCGCTTGACGAGGATGGAGCCGCACGGGATGCCGTGGTCGTCCAGGAGCTGTCGCAGGGCCTGCTCCGTCACGTCCTGGTCCAGGTTACCCACGTACAGCTTGCTCATCTTGACGTACTCGTTGTTGTCGGTACGCGAATCGGTTTTACGGGGGTACTCCACCGCACTCCACGCTACACTCTCACAACAAACAGGCGACTGTTACCGCGCCGTGGTGAGCCGTGCCGTGCCGTCCCCCCTCAGCCCCCCCGTGCC